GGTTACCCCCAGCCTAAACCTGCTTCTCATGTTATGATAAGTTTCATGTGGTGTGCCGTACTGGCAAAAAAAAAAAAAAAAATTATCTGAGCCAGCTGGACACGCTGCACTCCTCGTGGTATTCTTAGTCATCCAGTTCACTTTTGAAACTGAATCTGATGATACCCTTCCCTTCCTTGATACTCTTATAATCTGCAATCAATCTGATTTTAGCACTACTTTTTACTGTAAATCCCTTTCTATTTGCCTCTCCCATGCTAAGCAAAAAAAAAAAAAGGCTTCTTTTTATTATTATGAATTTTGCACTTTCAAAGTTTGTTTCTCGGAAACTTTGCTTGCTAACGAACTCAATTATTTGAGATTAGTTGCCATTGAATGAGAACTTTCTTCCATGGTAATTCATTTATTAATTAAGCCTTTAATTCATTAAGCCTTTAAAAATTTTCATCTTGCCATCAAATAAGACATTTTTCTATTAGCAATAACATTAATAACCTTGTTGCACTTCCATTTCATCCTCCTGTCAAATATAAAATTGCACAGATTCTTCAGACATTTAATTTTCAAATCATTTTCTTACCTATCAATAAAATCCATGGATCAATTTTTAGATTCCATTTCTGACTTTAATCATTGAAGAACTATATATTCTATAATTATTATTATAATAATTATATATATCTCAAACCAAACTGACATCTTGAGATACGTCCACTAAACTAAAAAGAATGTCCAAGTTTTGCATCAAGGAACACAAGGCAGAATTGACTTACGTCCAAAAAGACAAAATTGACAAGATTTTTATCTTGTTTAGTTAATGACTTTAATTTCAAATCCAGTCCTTCCAACCTTTCCTGCTTTTAAAATTCTATTACCTTAATTTTCATTACTATTTCTGCTGACAGATGTCGCTACCTTCCCCTGTTTGCTTTACTCCTTTTGGGCATAAATACAACTGTGACTTTCCCTTCACTGCATATTTCTTTGCTCCTGATGAAGAGAGAACTTTATCAATTTTCCCTCAAAATCAATATTAAAATCTATTAATCTCGACGGTTGGCTTGCTGGGCTGCCTCAAATTTCATGGCATACACTAAAGCGCTTTTCAGATCTTTAACATCCGCCATTCGCAGTGCTTTCTGTATTTCAGGGTCCCGGATGCCATCGATGAAATATTGCAGGGACAGGATTTCCCTTGTTTCTGTCGGGCACTCCGAAAAGGCGTGATGTGACAGCCTTTCAACATCCGTGGCGAGCTTTTGAAGTGTTTCGGTGAGCTTCTGTTGACAAGATTTTAATTGGAGCCTGCTGTAGTCTTTTAAACATTTCTCGCCGAAGCGCAGCTCCAAATTCGGTAAGCGTCTGCAGGATATCCGCTGCGTCTGCTCTCAGAGAAGCGGCGAGATGACAGGCCTTATCTTGAGAATCCCATCCATTCGCAACGATAGAAAATTGTGTCCTATACACCTGCCAGGAGGTCTTCCTATCATATGTAGATAGTTTCAGAACGGAACGAGCAGGCATCGATAAAAATTTGAAACCTTCAGAATTGTTTCCTGCCGTCACTACGCACTTCTTTAGGCTGTCAACTTCTTTGGCGACGGCAGCAGAAACCCTATCATCAATTTGTTGTTCGACGGCAGAAACTCTCTCTTCTATATGTTCTTTTACAGAAGAAATTCTTTCTTCTACTTGTTCTTTTACCGAAGAAACTCTTTCTTCTATTTGTCCAACTTTAGTTTCAACCGCGTCTATTCTGCCTTCCATAGCCTCAAATTTATTTTCTATTACGCAGGTAATTTCTCTTTTCACTTCGTCCTGACCTGCTTTCATCTCATCTTTAAGTAATTTCATCTCTTCCTTAACGGATTCCTGGCCCAATTTCATTTCTTCCTTAACGGATTCCTGGCCCAATTTCATTTCTTCCTTAAATGCAGGAAAGGCTGATATCAGCTGTCTTAACTGCTCTTCCATCGCTCTTGTGATTGGCATTCAAATCCCACCTCTGACACCAAAAATTGTTGCGTGCGTACGGGTTCGTTATGAAATGAATGCACAAGTCCGATGAAAAATGAACAAAAATTTATTATTATCACAACAAAAATGCTTAAATTTTCTCAAATTATCATGCAGTATTACAATATCTCACAGTAGTTATCTTTTAACTACTCAAATGTACAATAGAACGTAATTCAAAACAGCTAAAAGAACGCTAATCTGCGAATTTGCTATAATCAACAACAGCAGTTTTCTAAACAACAACAAACTAAGCAACTACTACGAACTGAAATCGAAATTGAAAGAATGGTTAGGCGGCATTTAGTAGCCTCTGCTACATTAACCGTCTGTTGGAGATATGCCCTAAGGCGTTGGGAAGAATTAAAAAATTAAGGTGATTTACACCGCACCTACAAAGGTGAAGCAGGGACATGTGCTAATAATGCACGTGAGGAAGGGACATGTGCTAATAATGCTCAAGTAGACTTTGGAGAAGGAGGGTTCAAGCATATGGCCGCCGTACAACCTGTGATGTATCTTCACTAGTTGAAGAAAGATGATACGTCGAGGCCGGTCACGTGGGTGGTCACCCACCCAAGTACTGACCCCGAGCTCTGCTGCTGTAAACAGGGGAACCTGTGTGTTAAAAAAGTGAAAGAAATCGTAAACATAGTGAAATTCCCTCAAATGCTTCTAAGCTGGTAATTACTCTTCACTTTCAGCAAATCTCATCAGTGTCATAGCTGCTTTGAACCCGGCAGTAAACTTCTCAGCCGTGGTTTTTGCAGCGCGGATCTTCTCAATGTGCTCAACCATACTGTTCAGAATTTTTTTTTTATTTTAGGATCTTGGATCCAGTTTATGATATCCTTGTACTCTGTGGGTGGGTTTTCCAATTTTTTCTTTACTCTATCACTGTAGAGAGGTTTCATCTGGGTTTTACTGCTGTCTTTCTCTGTTTCGATGAATTTCAGAAAATCTGCCGGCGTAGGGATCTTAGCTGCTGGCTTCTTTGCTTCATACCGCTTCTTGTACACGGGGCAACCCCTGTATGAACTTACATGCGGTAGTGAGCAGAAGATGCACTTAGGTTTTTCTTCTGGCTTTAGAGGGCATTCTTTACTTCTATGGTGCTGTCCACACTTTCAGCATCGCTTAGGATTTGAGCAAAGATGTTGCGAATGTCCATATTCTTGACATCTATAGCATTGAATTACGCGTTTTTTCGGGGCAAACTTCTCGATCTTGACATTAACACTTAACATATTGTTGAGTCCATGAATTGCACGTCCTTCCTTCGTTTTCTTCAGCTCCAACAGGAAAATCGGAAGTTTCTCGATAGCGTCTCCTCTTCGTCTGGAAAACTGCTTGACTTTACTTATCAGGAATTTCCTTCTCTCCAGAACTGCCTGGATTATTTCTTCCTTCATCGTGAATGGGAGGCCCTTAAGAACAACCTTAATAGGTTTTTCGCTGAGTAACTGGAAAGTAAGAAATGGTATATTTCTTTTCTGCAAAACCAGAGTTGCTTTTCTGTAATCGTCTACTGACTTTAAATTAACATATAGTAGTTTCATTTTCATATCAGCTTCGAATTCTTCACTGCAGGTATTGATAAGGATTTCATGAATTTTAGGCCAATCCACTTCGCTTTGCTGGAAAACTATTGGGGGTGGAGTTTCCTCTTTTTCGGCTCCTCCTTCTTCTTCCATACCTTCTACTTCACTTAGCTGCTCAATTCGATTTTCCGTCGTAACTTCCATTGGAGCTTCGTTTTCTGATACTTTCGCGGTTTTCTTACGAGAACTCCATTCTTGTTCCCTGCTGTCTGTTCCTCTTTCAGTTATCTGCCCTGGACAAAATTTTTTCGTGAATGTCTCTACATCCAATCTCACCCTTATAGTTCTTTTATGAAAGTAATTTGCAAAATTACAGTCAAATCCAAATTTCGCAATCTGGTTTCCGGGATTTCTTCTTTAGAACCATGTACTTGAATCTTGTTGAGCATGTCCTCATCATTTCCATTGATAAATCTTCTGGTGTCTGTTCATCAGTAGCTTCTCCATTCGGTGTTTGAATGTCTCTTTTTTCCTTACCAGGTTTAACATCTTTCTTCTTACTAGGTTGTTCGCTTTCCGTATCTGACAATAGTTTTCGCCTTTTTCGCTTTTACTTTTCTTTCCTTTGGCCAAAAGGATGAAATCCTCTTTCTTCAATGGATAGGTCTTGTTGGATTTGGACGAACGCTCGCTTCGGTAGTCCTCTTCATCAGAACTATCGAGTGGTGTCCTATAAAAGGAACATTTTCTACTACCCGAAGGTAATTAATCAGTCAAATAAACCTTTTCAAAAATCAACATTCTGATTATTCTTGATCAAATTCTTCAGAAAAAAAATCGTAACAACGAACTGAAAACAACAAGCTCAAAACATAAATATCTCATCGAATTCTACTTGTACTGCGACTTTCTCAGTCATGACTGCGACTGAGATTTTTTCCTCCTTTTATAAGATTTTAAAAATCACGCGCTGAGAGAATTTTCCAGAACTTTCTCGAAATCAAAAAAAGAGATATATTTATTTATTAAATGTTAAATGCACGTACTCTTGTATTTTCAATTTTCCGGCTTAGCTTTCTTTTAATATTCGTCACGCGCTGCACTGCGCGAGAAAAAAACCCATTTAATTTATAACTGAATCAACATTAGCTATTTAAATACCAAATTCGTAACAATATTATATTGATATACTACAATAATCTATATAACTTAACAATATATTAAAAAATGATCTACTGAATTTTGTTTTATGTGGTTCATTGACAAGCATTATGAAAATGTTATGCTTGAATTCACTACAAAATAATCTGATGATGACTACAATCTTGCAAAGATAAAATGGATTAAATACTAGCTACTTTAACAACAGCTGAACTGAATATTGGGAAAATGTATATTCTTAATGAATGAAATAATCATGATCCTAAAAAGGGCTACTATCAGTATACTAGAAAATAGTTTTATTATATAAATATATTTACATTATAAAACTATTGTTTACTCTACATTTAATGAGTAATTCACAAATTCCACTGCAAATAAATCTGAGTAATTCACCCACTTATTTGGGATATCAAATAAGCTTTTAATTTTAACAAAGCCTTATGACGATGTGAGAATTCATTTTTCTCTTCTGAGCTCATTTCAGCAAATGTTCTCACACTTCCCTCGGGTTGGAAGCAGGAATCCCACCCAAAACCATAATCTCCTCTTGGGGGTACAATTGTGCCTTTTACTTCTCCAGAAAATAAGAATACTTCTTTACCCGGACCTTCAGTAAATGCTAAAGTACACACAGCTGATGCAGATTTATCTTCCCATCCCTGAAATATAAATAAATATTTATTCAAGTATCATTTTAATACAAATAACATCTGTAGGTACAGCCTGACAGAAACTACACTTACAGCCAAAAGTCTATGAAGACCTTCTGAACCAAGTTTCTCATAAAACCATTTTATATATGGTCCAGGCAATCCATGTAGAGCATTAAAACAGAGAGAAGTATCTTCAACAATAACTGGTCCTTTCACAACTGATGTGGCACTTTTACATTTTGATTTGGATACAAAATCTGAATCTCCCTGGTTTTCAGGTAAATCCAGTTTAACATAATGAATCTTAAAAAGAAATAAAAAATTATTTACTATTTGAGCATTTATGAACAAAACATTTACAAATATTTAACCCTTTGACTATGAATTGAAAAAAAAAAAAAAAAAAAAATTGTTACCCTGTTTTCTATCCAAGTGAACAAAATATGTCATAAATAAGGTAAATTTAGAATTCTATATTTTTTTGACAAAAGGTTTTCAAGTCAAAGGCTAGGACACATATGTCCCAGCCATAGTTAATGGTGGGATACACAATTCTCACATGTAGTGATCAACTTGCTATAAGTACCTATTATTCTGAGAAACTATTATATGAAATCGATTTTTACATTGTATGGTACAGGGTAAAGCATTCTTTGCGTAACCCAACATTACATATTGGGCAACTCATACTTGTTCTTTTCTCTGTGTTCATTTGTGTACAACAAAGCACAGTGACATCTTGATTTACAAACTATTGGAAGATGATCCCCAACATGTAGGAGATTCTTAGCAATCTTCGACCCAACAGTAATTTTTAAACTTTTAGTGGGACATATATGTCCCGTTAGTAGTCAAAGGGTTAAAATTCAAAGTATTAAAATATGTAAAATTGGGTTGAGACTAAGTATAGCAATTATGATCTGAATATATTTTACTTAAAATGTCTTGGTAGAAAATATTATTCTTGTACTGTTACAGTACTGTAATGCCAAAATAATATACAGTATAAAGTCCAAGATCTGGACTCAGAACTTGTCAGGTGACTTTGGAAATCAAATCATCAATATAAATCTAGTAAGGTGACATGTAGAAATTATAATAGTAGAAACAATGAAGCATCTATGACCTTGAAAGAACAAGATTTAATTTTAAAAAAGTTCAATATGTACTTATTTACTTTATTAAACATTTCTTTTAATGTAAGTTGTTCAAGTTCCTTCACTTTTTGTGCTAGCACTTTTACTTTAATTCTACAGACAGACATAATTTTTTGTTCAATTAAAGTTCATTGTTTAAGTCCTGTAACTGCCATGTCCAGAATTCCTACTAAATTGCTAGACAACATTTTTTCATTCCTGTCAGCATCTCTGTCACTTTCTTTATTATGAGTAGTGATATTTTCCAGATTTAACGGTCATACTACATATTTTGCCACCCATTAGTTGATTGATAATTAGGGCCATGTCATCGCAATGAAAAACTTCTATTATATCATCTCCATTTATTATCACTTCTCCATAAATCCCATTAAATGGAAAGATTCACTTTGTTTGCAATATCTGATAAGCTTCAGATTTCTGGCTATCATCATAAAGCTTAACTAGCGTCTGCTATAGACTTTTGGGAATGTATAATGAGACTAAAGACATTTTGTTCCACTAAATTACTTTTATCATACGCTGATGAAATTTCTGAATTACATAGTTTAATAATTTATTACACTTATGCCTATTTCCTGCACATGCTTCAAGCTTTAAGGCGTATCTGGGACTGACCATTTTTGTGGTTCAATTTCTGTAGCTCCTATATTCCGCTGCCAAGTGTCTCTTTAAATTCTAAAAATTTTGTGATGCAGTGCCTTGCCTAAATTCTAAAGATTTCACCATTCCTTAATTTTGTTATTTGGCGATTCTCATTTCTAAAAATTTTACCTCCCCTAAATTTGCCACCCAGCACCAGCTCTCTAACTCGAATAACAAATCTGTTACTCTTCATTCACACAGCACTCACTTTTGGCTTATAAGTATCATTTACAAAATCTATATTTTGCATATGAAAAGAAATTTATGTTAAATTTTTCTTTCTCGTCAACTCAACATTTTGTAGCACAGTCCGAGTCTGAAGTCTGCAATCATCGCCAAGCATAATGTCAACATAAAAGGTTGCCATGCTGTTGCTGCTACCAACAATGTACTAATATTTTTAAATTATTTATTTTTAAACAATGTACTAGTATTTTTTAAAAAATTGTTTAGACATCTCTCCTTGAGTCATTTTCTCTAGCTGCTGTGTGTTGGCAGTCATGAATGATGAAAACAAATATAACAAATAATGATTCGCCAGGTTAGCTTCAGGGATGTAAAATCCATGTTTGCATATGAAAATCTATATTTGCATATGAAAAGAAATTTATGTTAAATTTTTCTTTCTCGTCAACTCAACATTTTGTAGCACAGTCCGAGTCTGAAGTCTGCAATCATCGCCAAGCATAATGTCAACATAAAAGGTTGCCATGCTGTTGCTGCTACCAACAATGTACTAATATTTTTAAATTATTTATTTTTAAACAATGTACTAGTATTTTTTAAAAAATTGTTTAGACATCTCTCCTTGAGTCATTTTTCTAGCTGCTGTGTGTTGGCAGTCATGAATGATGAAAACAAATATAACAAATAATGATTCGCCAGGTTAGCTTCAGGGATGTAAAATCCATGTTTCAATATAAAATGTTTCAGTTTGAGTTATATATGAAATAAAAATGTGATTATGGAGCCAAATTATTGATAATACAGATTTATGCAAATAAATGTTTTTTTTTTCTTCAGTATGGAGGTATTTTATTTAGTGCCAAAATGAAATTATAAATTGAGACTCTTCACATGTTTCATTATGAAAAAATATCACATATGCATGGGTAAAATATGCCCCCCCCCAAAAAAAGAGGTTTATGGTGGTCTGGATTTTAGATCATTCCAGGTATTGGATGTACAGATTTTGGACTTTGTACCATATAAATAGGTCATTAAATAAATTTCTTAAAAGTTACCAAAACATCTCTATAATAATATTATTTTTAAAAATTGGAAAATTTAATCAAACATTAAAGTATTTTTTCCTTTTCTTTACATTAAAAGCATGCTGCCCCTACTTTACCCCTCTGAGCAGCCCGGGTGTTTGGATCTATCATGAAGACCTGTATTTAAAGGATTACATCCGAAAACATCGCGGAGAAAACAATGTAAGGAAAAAACATCATGGTACAAAACATCGTGGGAGAAAACATCGCAGTTCTAAAATATCGTGGTAAAAAATAAAGCAGTTAAAAAACTTCGCAGTTTAAAAACATCATCGTCGAAAATATCGTGGTAAAAAATAAAGTACCTACAAATGATGGTATGACGATAACATCACATACATACATTTTTCAAATCACATAATGACAGATTATGTAACTGACTTTCGTTCATAACTAACAAATCGGCCTCCAAAAAATTGCTTGCACGCCATATATGAAAATGTTAATGACACTTTAAACGGAAACAAAACACTATGTAATTTTCATTAAAAAAATATTAGATTAACAAATGTGAAAGGAAATAATTTGATCATTAACTAAGCAATTTTTATAGAGTAACCTCATGCAGTTATTTATCTTCCTTTTTCTAAGCATTTCTAGACTGTATTTTTCGTTATAACTTTATAAAAAATGCTTAATTTATTACTGACCTTTGTTAATTAACTATATAAATTAAAAATTCTATTAAGCTTTTTAAGTTGTACTAATTTTCTACTTATTTTCAAATTTTAAATGCGTAAGTTTCCTCCTTATTTTTTCAGCAAAAATTTATTAGTTCGTTCAAATATATGAAATAAAGAAGTAAAAGGAACTTTCTTTCCTTCTTGTGCTCTATGATCTTTATACATACACGCATTTACAACTTTCAAAAACCTGAAAACGATGTGTGCAATGTTATCGTCATGTGATGATTTGTAGGTACTTTATTTTTTACCACGATATTTTTGATGACGATGTTTTTAAACTGTAGAGCTTTTGAACCACTTTATTTTCGATGTTTTGTACCGCAATGTTTTCTCCTTGTGTGGTTTTCGTCCGCGATGTTTTTGCCGCGACGTTTTCGGCGGACACAATGTAAAGAGCCTTTATTAGCTAAGCATGTATACTTACCCATTTCAGTCTCTATTTTCATAAACTTGCATTCATCAAGATGCATTTATATTATTAATGAAAGTAAGAAGGCAAATTACTTTAATTTGTAAGCTAATACAGTACAAAGTCCGAAATCCTGATGTCCATTATTCGGAATGATCTAAAATCCAGACATCAAAACCACCAACAACGTTTTTCTCGTAGTCTTTACGCATGCGCATTTGATTCCCCCCCTCCGCACATAATAAAACATCTGGAGAGTCCCGATTCTTAATTTCACTTCGACACTAAATAAATTATCTTGTTATTCAACAAGCAATCATTTTAACATAAATCTGTATCATCAATTACTTGGCTCTGTAGCTGCCAAATTACCTGCTTGGCTTACATCTGAAACTGAAACATTCTATATAGATACATCCTTGAATTTATATTTACTAATATTTTATATGCCTGACACCAAGCTGGTGAATCATTATTTATTATACAGTCAAAAGTCGTTAATCCGGACTCGTCGGGACTTCGGAGATTCCTGGATTATAGATCATCACTTTAAATCTGGTAAGATGGCATGCAGAAATTATAAAATTAAAAATATCAAACCGTAATTTATGAAATAAAGAACAATTATTATCTAAAGGATATCAAAATTTACAAAAAAAAAGCTTAATATTTATTTGTTGACTTTATTAAACATTTCTTTCAATGTAAGTTATGTTGTTTTGTTTTATGTGATAATACTTTCTCTTTAATTCTATAAACAGACACAATTTCTTCTTCAGTTACAAAGTTCCGCTTTTCAAGTCCTATAATTGCTGTGTCGAGAATACCGACTGATTTGTCAATCAAAATTTTTTCGTTTTCAATAATCTCTGTTTCACTTTCTTCTTTATCAGAAGCGAACTATAATGACGTCGAGTTTGATTTAAATCATATCAAAAACGGTGTACATCGAGATGAAATACTACATTTAGTTAGGAATTATAAACCAAATAAAAAAAAACATCTGCCCTGAAGATAAGGATAGTGCTGACAGATTAACTTCCAATTCATTGTGCGCCGCGGCGTTTGCTCCCCCCTTCTGCGCCACAGAGCAGCGTGAAATTGATAAACAGATTTCGGAATGGTTAGGGAA